CGTGCCATTGCACTCCAGCCTGGGCAACAAGGGTGAAACTCCATCCCCCACCCCCACCCCCACCCGACACAAAAAATAATAAGTGGATGCATGCACGCCTAAAACAGTAAGTCTCAAACCAGAACTAGGTATAGCCGGTTCCTCACAGATCTCCTCACCCCGTAACTTTTAATTCATTTAATAAATACTGGGCCTACTATGTGTAAGGCATATTGCATGAGATATAGCGGTAGCAAGACAGACAAGGCTGCTCTCAGGACCTTCTGTCTGCTGGAGGGACACACATAGGCTTGTAAATACATAGCTTCAGAATGACAACTGCTATGAAGAAGGTAAAACAAAGTGATGTGATAGTGACAGGGGAAGCCGGGCGCAATGGCTCATGCCTATAATTCCAGCACTTTGGGAGGCTGAGGCAGGTGGATCGCCTCAGGTTAGGAGTTCAAGACCAGCCTGGCCAACATGGTGAAACCCCATCTCTATTAAAAATACAAAAATGAGGCCAGGCACAGTGGCTCATGCCTGTAATCCCAGCACTTTGAGAGGCTGAGGTGGGCAGATCATGGGGTCAAGAGATTGAGACCATCCTGGCCAACATGGTGAAGCCCCTTCTCTACTAAAAATACAAAAATTAGCTGGGCATGGTGGTGCGCGCCAGCTACTTGGGAGGCTAAGGCAGGAGAATTGCTTGAATCCGGGAGGTGGAGGTTGCAGTGAGCCGAGATCCCACCACTGCACTCCAGCCTGGTCAACAGAGTGAGGCTCTGCCTCAAACAAAAACAAAAACAAAACAACCAAACCAAAACAAAAAAGATAGTGACAAGGGAAAGAGGTTTCCGGGTGGTTAGAGAAGTCCTCTTACAGAAGAGAAGACCTAGAAATAGTGAGGATGAAGCGGCTATGAGAAGATCTGGGGTGACAGCATTCTAGGCAGAGAGCACAGCCAATATACAGGCTCAAGGCAGGAATAAACATGTTACATTTGGAGAATGAGAAGGCCATGGTGACTAAAGGAACAGTTCTAGATGAGGCTGGAAACAGACTGACCAGATCACATAGGGCCTTGTATGCCACGGTCTTAAGTATAGGCTCCTTCTTCTCCATTTTGTACACTGTTGCCAAATAAGCACTAGAATGACAACCTCTTTCAGATACCTCTTCTGCTCGGAAACCTTCCCACATTCCCCAAAGCCCCCAAATATCCCTATTCAAGGCCCCCCATAATCTAACCTCTACCTACTTTTACAGGCTTTTGTCTTATATCCTGGCCACATTTTTGACTTCAGGGAAATGAACCCACTTGCTAGCCCCTGTACACACCTTATATATATTGTCACTTCATACCCT